GCCTTCGGTAAGCTTGTCAATGTTTGATCGTCAAAATAAAGCACCAGCTGTGTTCCCTACTAATCACAATTGAGTAGCATCTCTCAACATTCCTCCCAAGGCGAAAATGAACTCGGTATGCAGCTGGAAATGAGGTGTTTCTTCTGAGAATTTGAATGGTTCCGTATTTGGTTGAGAGCTTCTTGTGACTTCATGATGGAGTTTTGGTAACCCGACCAGTAGCTTGATTTCTGACGACTTTTTGGCGTACGGCCATGGTCCCAGCGCCATCTATCGAGTTCACCTTGATACACACACCTGTCGGCACTCATCTCCTGAAACATGTTCATTAAGGTCTCCTTTATCCGCATTTCACATGAAGTTTGCAATCTTGGGAGTAACTTCGCTTCTCTAGGGTCACCAAAGCGGCCTTCGATGTGGTGCGTGTACTCTGTTTCCTGCACTGTCAGAATTGCACTTGGTTTCCATTTCACCGGCATTCTTAACTTCCTCATCGCTTTGTTATGCAGCCTGGCAAACGTTTGCTTGTCCTTCGTGTTCTCAATAGAGAAATTTGGATTTGCTGCGCTGTCAACTTAAGGTTGGCGTTCGTCAACTGTCTTTGTTGCCGTATTCGAGACTTCTAATAACTCGGTTGACTGAGGTTCCGCTATATAAACAGCAGCACATATGTGAAAGATTCCCATCACAGCATTTAGAACAAACACAGTTTGGCGAAACAATTGTTTTTCATTAATTCCTTCTCAAGCCGTTTACAGATTACATAGGTAACATTAGAAACCAGATCACACAGCTAGACACATCACCAATCATGGGTAAGAGTTTGTCATAGTCAACTGGCATTTGTCATTTGATTGGTTTAACGAAGCTACGGCATCAGGGTGACTGGATGGCCAAAAGCGTTTGGTTCAGTCACTCCGACTTCCATGGTCCGTGATCGATCGGTTTCGTGTGTGTCCGCCGTCCAGTCACCATGATTCCGTAACTTAGCAGCACATGTGTCAAACAAACCTGGTACTTTCTGATTACCCATCTCTATATGGGTCTGGAGTGAACAACAATCAGTTGTTCTCGAGTGGAACTTGTCTGCAGACACCGATTCGACCGACATCAGGGTTACTCTGATTGATCATTTGCGCTGTTTCGGGGTAATTTCTCTGCAAGCACTCTGGCTCTTCGTGATCACAAATCCCCCTCTTGACAGTTCTTTGTAATCGGTTCGGAGGGACGACATCTCCTTCGTTAATTTCTTGAGGATTGCCGTAATTCCTTTCGGCTGGCATCTTTGGCCTTCGTTTGGCTTAATAGGTTTGAATCTCTTCCAAGTGAACTCCGTCAGAACATCCTCCAAGTTGAATACAATCATGGTCTTTCTCGCATTAATTATCCATGCCGCCTGGCTCAAATCTATCGACAGGCTCTCCATAAAACGATTAAGCAGTAATTCCGAAGGCGCGGCATCATCCAACGTTGGGAGTGCTCGACTCAACAGGGCGCATATGGTCAAGGCATGCTATAGAAAATCCACGTCAACTCCGAGCTGCGCCTTCCGGAAGCTACGCAATAACTGCTGGTGGTCGCCGGGATGTCAAAACCCGTGACCAGGGCGTCCTTTGCGGCGGCCCACTCCATCTTCTCCGGGCCTCTTCGCGCCGCATCCAACATCGCTTGATGACTGTCGACTAAACAGTAGATTCCTGCAGAGCTCATCATTTCACTGCGTGAGGCTTTGAAGCACACTTCAACTTAGTTTTGAACTACGTATGATCATAGAAAGTGATGTCCGTCACTATCGCATTGATTCAATTTAATTGCGCTGTGTTTACGAATCCCATCAGCTCAGACGAGCGCCAAATCTACTTCTATCTTCCGGAACGCTTCTTCTCAGTCAATTTATCTCTGGTTCAAAATTATTTGTGCAAATGCTGAAATAAAAAGACAGATCTGACTACATAAACATCGACGAAGCATTAATGATGCATCTTTTATGCATTTTAACAAACATTAAGGCAACATTTAGAGTGAAAATGGTTTTAATAGCTATAGAAAAATTGAATATTATTGGCATTTAACTGATATGTTCTTTTTATTTCATTTATTTCAAAAAAAATTGATAGCCATTTTAAGTGTTTACATTTTTCAGATGCTAGATTGTTGAATTAAGTTCAAAACTGCCCTGCATTAATGGAAGTAAAAAACGTTTTAGTTTTGTCTTCAATATTAGCGACAAAATTAAACGGGTTTGTTGTCAGTAGACTGTTCTCTAACTGATCTATCCAAGAAAATTCCCACTTTTATGAAAGAATCAGAGCTTATGGGTAAAGTTGCTATCGGTGTACAGGAACAGATTTAATCAACACTCTTTTACCATTAAGAATCTATCCTATCGATTCCAGATTCGTTAATTTACTCTCGGTTTACTGGATGAGAAGCGGATAAACATTTAATTTTTGAATTAAATTTTGTATACAAACATCTCAAACTATAGTATGACAATCCGAATGCTAGATGTCTTTATTTTCTAAATCCCAATTCGTTTTGTTTATTTGTTTCCTATTAAAATATTTTTGTTATTACAATTCCAACCTACGTGTTGTTAATCTGATTCAAGGTTCTGTGTCCTTAGTATTCCGTGCAGATCTATTTTCCCCTTGTGTTTTCATTATTTCAATTATAGTTGAGTTACTGCAAAAACGGTTCGGTCAATCAGTTATGCGATCACGGGGAGGTTTTCATGTTCGTTACAAAAACAATTTATTAGGCCGCTCGGGATTACAGTTATTCACTTCTCAAGGCTGCTATGGGTCTGTAGAGGTCTTGTTTACCAACTGCTCCAATCCCTGCGCTAACGTACATGCCAAAATACTGTCAACGGTATCCTTTCTTATCATTTCGCGATCTTGTGCACATATTTTCTAACTGTGGTATTATAAGGGAGTACACCCAATAATACGCCATATTACCTTGGCTTGTTTGAGCAACTGCGTCTATTACATTTCGACCAAATTCATCTCCGGTGTTTAAGGCCTAAATTTTATTCTTATTGATATGTGCAATAAACCACCGTCGCATCACTGTCATTGACCTACGAACATTTTTATCTCATACTGGATTAAAACGTCCAGGTTGTGTATAACGAGTTTGCAATATAGACCGCCACCATCTGCGACAGAATCACCGGTGAGTATGCGGATACCGTTTTCCACCGACGTTGTGCATCACCGACCATAAAGCATTTACAATGGTGCACTTGTTCATTAGTTTATCGTTTAATGTCTCGTATGATTGTTTGTCTCCCGCATAACACCAGTCACGAATCGTTGCTTAGTTAGCAGAGCTGTACGAGGCTAGTTGAGTTAATTACTTGGAACCATATAGCAGAAGCTGTCAGTCGCTCGATGTTCGCTGATTGCACTGAATCAAAACGATTGGATTAGCTTTTGCTTATAACTAGTCAATTCTAATGTGTTATAAGTTCCGTTACGTTTCTCAGTAGTTGAGTGATGTGAAGAAACATTGTCAACCGAGAAATGAATCTGATCGAACCGAAAAGGTTTGAAATTGAGTTCAAGTCAAGTTAAAGGTGCAACCAGAGGAATAATTTGCAGTAACTTATAAACTTTTACAGTGAATATTTGAAAATAGTTATTTTACGAATAACCGACAGTCGAGGAAGGTATGGAATCACATTGTTTCTTGATCGGGAAGTAAGAATAAGAAGGAGCTGCTGTTTGGATCCAGTTCGGGGATTCGAGTAGACTATCACAAATTTATCAATGCAAACATTGCCTTGATAACATATTATCTTATCAATGCAGGTATCGTAAAAGTCGAAATGCTTGGGAATAAAAGCTCAACCCGAACAACTGTTTCAACGCCACTACAACGGAAGAAATATTTAAGGAGTCCAGAAAAACAATGAAGTCTTTTTCTTTCACACCAGGGCTAAATTTGGAGTGGCAGTATAACTGGTGTAGAAGAATGCAAGAAAAAGGGAATTTGCAGGAAACCAATTTCCAAATCTTATATTTAAGTATATATTATATGTATATATATATTTATATTTAAGTATACTGTAATGTAGACATACTATCATAGAATGATAATTTAATTCCACAATATTTATTTGCAATATGAATTGGTAATTAGTTTTATCAGATGCGTGAGAGTCAAACACTGAGGCACTTATGTACTGCTTGATTTTACCAACCAATTATTTTCCCTTCTTTTTCATCAAGTCGCATTACTGCTGTTACTGCTGGTATTCTCTGAAGATAGTGTCCAAAACACAACAGAATTGCTGATTCTGAACAGATCTGAGGTGAGCTATAGTTGTCACAACAGCCTCGCGTGCACACAAGCGTTCAACCGCTGAACGGGTCAGTAGATTTACGTCTCTAACGAAGTCTTTCAAGAGTCTAATTGAAGTGCACTTTTTCTGGGAGAGCAAAAATGACCAGATTAACTTAGAACTGTCCGTGTAGCTGAGGTCTGAAGGGGGTTTAATTAAATCATTAACGCACATCCACACGCCTACCTCTAAGTAACTGTGATTCCAAATCTGTAAATGTAACAACAATTTACTGAATTTATTTATGTTTATCTCAGTGCATGTAATTAAAATTGATTTTAAAAATAGAACATTCAGCATCGACGTGTTGCAACGTCTATACATTGAACAACATTCCCGATTGACTTTTTAATGCGGGCTATTAGCGCGGACCGGAAAGAAAAATAGGAAACATCTGATCTAATCTACGCTTTTCCCGGTTTATTTATTTTTATTCCCGCGATACGTTGTTCTGTCTAACTGTAGTGAGCTGAACTGCATCGCGTGACAGGAAACACAGGACTAATAGGAGGACACTTGTGTATCAAGGGATCTGATCCAGTTAATCACGCCACGATGAATAATCGCCTTTTCCGTTTTTCCCTCACGCGTAAGAAAGCATGGCGGATGCAGATATCAATTAGGTGCTCTGACTGCAACCCGGAAATTGTGACAGGTCATGTATATTGATGCAGATTACCCATGGTACTAGTTGTTGTCGTATTCCGGCATTGATGACAAATTCGAAGTGAGAAACGTCCATTTGAAATCATCATATGCATGTCGTTGTTCGGCGATAAACATGTATATATCTAAGAACCCATCTACTCGACAAATTATGTCACCTAAAAGTGAAAAAAAATCTAGGAATTTTAAACAAACAAACATTGTAATCGAAAACACCTGTTAGAACCTTTCGTGTTAGTACATGAGTCAAGTAAAGACGAGGAGAAACCACTGAATAATAAAAAGTCGATTGCTAAGTCATCTACAACATTGAAATTCTCACGCAAGGCGAACCCAACGTTGTTCTGGATTTTCACGTTTATTTGAAAAATAAAATATGTGGGATGAGTCTGTTACCAGCACGCGTATTTATTTTGAGCGGGACAAAACTGTTCACAGCTTGCGATAGAACAATCGCTTTGGCCGTTGACTGTGCAACTCAGGGCAGAGATCTCGATTGGGATTCCGATGAGGGAAATTCCACGTAGTACAATAGGCTGATAAGTGTCACCAGGGACGGAAAACCTGCCTATTGTTATGTACTGAACATGAAATACACAACCTGCTTCTGGATAATCTGTATTGGCATGTGGTGAATCGGTGAATTGCCAAAACCACCCAAGCAGTCCCCATTCTACGAATTTACATGGAAAACAAAGGAAAACGCCTAGAGTGTGGCAGGCATTCAGTGGCTTTTGGTATTATAAACTTACGGTGATTATCATCCAAGGTTTCACTGTGTACACAGCGGTCGCCAAAGCAACGCACAACAGAGACATGTGTCCGGATGTTTTCCCCTGGAAATGAGAGATGGCATGATTTTCAAAAGAAATAAATGCAGGTTTATAATCATCTACTGATTTCCAGGAAGGCCATTTTGAAAAAAGGTACCTATAGAAGGACCCCAATGCCAGGATGGTTCCCGTTGTAATCTCCGAAGTAAAAGTTGAATCCTTCGGAATATGTTCAGTCTTCGTTTTTTATATCAAGCTTTACAAACAATGTACGTCATTGTAATTGCACATTAATAAGATTACGTTCAAATGATCAGTTTCGTTCTGCTCCATTTTGCAACATTCTACGCTTACCATTTTTCCGGGAGGGGGCTTGTCAATTATTCATGCAAACCAAAATAAACTCCCTTTCAAGCTGCTTTATACGGTGCATTTCATCATGCAGCTGAGTAACAAAATGTGCTGCAGAACGCTAACACAACTAACGACGGACAACATTTCCAAACTATAAACAGTTTTAATATTACCATAATAACATTCACAAAATGAGTGGGTGAGCTAACAACTGTTTCCGGATATTCCTAGGCATATCATATAGTGAAGAAATGCTTATAGAATGACAGCCATTGGCGCAATTAAAGGTCATTAATCGGAGTCGAAGGGAAAGGGGATGTGTGTGTGTGTATGTGTAGGAGCATTTACTGTATCAGCAGATGTTACCGTTCGCCGTTTGGGCCAAGGGACACGTTCTGCTCTGTTCTGGTTTTCACACTGGACCAGGGCGATTGAAGAGCTTGAACCAGTCCTTTTTGGGCACACAGGTTTGGGCAAAGTAAGCGAATGGCGATCGCCTCGGCGATGACAAGTGTCCAAACTCAGGCCACCTTCGATCGATTGAGTGAGATGTGATAAACAACATAGAA